AAGTCCCACCTCAGTCGAACAAACCCATTCAGTTTCCTGGGATCGTTACAGCGCAGAAATTCATCCGACCCGGTCGAACATCAACGTAGTGAAACAACTCGGTAAAATATCACGCTCTAGGCCCTCCCTATTAACCTTTAGGCACAGCTGACTTATAATACTGCAAAAGCTTTGCCGCGTTTATGGTTTGCGCACAATACTTACGCAAAAAAAGCATTAGGAATAACCAGAAGAGCAAACAAGTTTCCATCCGTTTTGGAGTGAGTGATAAACTGGAAGTAACTACTGAAGTCCCGGCTGTTAGACTAGCCCGTTGTCCCCGTCCATTTATTCAAAAGTCTTTGTCAACAGTCGCGGTTTGACCAAGTTACAGAGGTCAGTCCAATCTCTGAAGATATCAAAACGGGACGTTTTTATAAGCACCCGATTAAGAAGCTGGCAATATATGTTTGCTGGTCTGACCGGGTCTGGTGCAGTTGTAGATAAATCCACGACCTCGGAGGACGTATATGTTTCAATTCAGCGTGAACCGGCGTATCTTCAACATCCGTACGGATGAAAGATGTTCCGTATTAGATCGTGGCTCATGTGATGTCGGCTTGTCATACTTTAAGGTCTAATGAGGCCAAACTTCTAATAGTGAAATACGATCATATGTCCCACTAGCTCTTTGAATTATAGCAAGTGTCTGCAGTCGGTCAACAAGCATGCTTTATTCTTGCCCTATAGGATGGGGTCTGACTGTATCTGTTCGAAATAACATCTAATGTGGGGGGACGTGGATGGTCAAAATTTTCGATAACAACGAGAGAAACTACGGGATATTAAATATGCAAAGTTAGGAATAGGGTTGAGCTTACAGAAATTAATATCTTGGTTGTAAATTAACAGGCAAAAATCGCATGAATTTGAATTCTCCATGATGAACACAGGAACTGTTATTTATAGTTTGCATGGACTTGTGCTGTAACAGTGGCTTATACATTTTGCAGCACTCGAGACTTCAATACCTTTATCTGCGACTGCATCCTGTAATTGATGGAAGTGCGAGCCCAAAATACCAATCTGACGCACTTATTGTTCTAGTGATTAAATCTCATTCTTCTTCCGACTGGCCTGCAGACCGCTGATTTGGATTCAAATCGGCACTTCCTTCAACAGAACGGCATTCGAACCGACTGATGTCCTCCTGAACCTCAAGCCATTCTACAAGATTTTATAATGTACAATCGGCAGAGCTGTTGCGTTATTTTATTCATACGGTTGATCTGATTAAACGCTTAGTCTGATAAGTATGATTGCTTTTTCTGTTTTTACGATCTACATTGAGAGTCGAACGTATACCCTAAGGACATTGTACGAAATCTGTGTGAGAGACGACGGTGGACCCACTACCGTTAGAAAACCGTGGGACTCCTGAAACGGATCGGTGTACGATTACCTACTACTATATACTCCCGATCGAGAACCCGCAAGACAGTGAACCCGTGGCTTAATGGTTAGGCCTTTTGACTCTGACAAGAGAGGTCGCGGGTTCGATACTCGAGTGCGGGAGCAATTTCAGCGGCAACAGTGGAGTTGGGTATCGATAGCTGACGACGGCTAATAAGCCAGAAATAGCTGTCCTGGCCTCCCTCTGTCTTTGTCTGTCATATCTAAACAGAACAAAAATTAGATGTAATATTAACGACTGCAATTCCCACCAATCGCCAAAGGGCCGAAGGTCAGTTACGATGTCGAAACACTATTCGGACTCGGGAAATGTATATTGATGGCCTGAAAATGGAGATAGAGCAGTTAGATAAACTTCCTCACCTTTTACCTGATGATTAGTAATAGACGACGATGGAAGTTAAAGAAGGCAGGATAAAACAAGCAATAAGACTTCCGCAGCCGTAACAACCAACCACGGAATTGGCAACGTGTCTACAGGTTTCGGCGAACCTTTAATTAGTCTCTGGTACGGAAAACGGACGAAAATCAGGAATAACAGAAGTCATTCTGGGTCGCTGCAGATCGGGTACACATTCGTCACTCTAAGCCACGAACGGGCGCACACCGATCCGTTAACATCATAGAATAAGCGTGGTTGACATAGTTTGCGAACAAGCCACTAAGTACAAGACTGAAGTCGAAACAGTTGCAATTTCACAAGATGCGGGTAGACAGTTTGATTGGGGATTTATCTGCCTTCATTCCGCCAACCACAACTAATCATTTACTGACAAGCGCAAGGGAAACTAGACCAGACCAGCGATTACTGGCTTATTAGGAGTCATCAGCCCACCATACCCAACACACGGTGTTGCAGCACTAGAGACCCGAACCCGCGGCCTGTTCGTTAGAAGTCAAACGCTCTAAGTACTGTGACACGGGCTCCTTGCCTTGCCGGTTTCGATCGGGAATGGACTCACATTGATAGAATGGCGCCCAGATATCAGTCATGAACTCAGGCATAACAGTAAAACTCCAATTCAATTTGCTATCGAAGCCTGGAGGACCTGGATGCAGGCGGATTACAACTAACATGAAAGGTTGCAGAGAATAGCCACAAATTAGGAAAAGATCAAATTGCACTGCCGTACGTGACCCGGCTCTCCAGGTCATAGGTAGTTACGCGGGGAATTGATAGAGCCTTTCGTTTCATGCGAGTTGGACTGCGCCCACTTTTGGGATCACTTCTTTCAGCCAGTCCCCATAATGCACCTCTGGGGACATCCATTCCAATTCCTTTTGTTTCAGGGGAGATCGTATAATCGTAGCCACGAAATA